TAAAAAAAAAAAAAAAGAAAATAAATGACTTTTCTTAGACCCATCACAGAATTAAGATCACAGGAAAAATCATCACCCAGAAATCTGAGAAACAGCCAAACACAGAGAATCACAGCTGAGATCAGCTTACCTGGAGCAAAGATGCTGGAGTCTTAACTTAAGTGATCATCTTCACAAACTGCTGGACGCTGAGTGTGTACTAGGTCAAGACTGAGACCTCCTTGGGGACCCAATCTTAGAGGAACCCAAACATTCTTATGAGTTTTACCTCAAGGAAACCCCACCAGGTTCTCATGGTAATGCCCCCCATAATACTCACCCATTTTAAATTAACATTTTGAAATACACCCAAAGCCACTAGTGGGGATGAGCACTGGGTGTTATGTGGAAACTAATTTGACAATAAACTATTTGTAAAAAAAAAAAAAAGAAGAAGAAGAAGAAAAAAAAAAAAGAAAAAAAAGAAATACACCCAAAGCATTATCTGTAATAATGGCCAATGCTTCAACTAAAATGATGTTACCAGACCCTTATATGACCCAGGGAAGGGCAATTAGCCAACTCTAGCCCGTCTTGAAATTCTCCCTATTTACTCTAAGAAGAAAAAAAGCTAAGGAGTACTTCTGAAAGTGATAGCCCAAGGACTGAGGCCCACTAGAGACTGAGGGTCATTCATAAAATTACAGAACAATTCCTCTCCACCAGCACCTTAATGCCACATCAACAGGGTTCCAGTATAATAACTGGATTATAACTGAAAGAGTGTCAAGACACAAATTCTATTTAAGAAGGAATTCTTAGGAAAACCTAAGATGACAGGAGAAAGAAAACAAAAGTGCACCTGAGGAAACTGAGCACTGTGGTCCCTACAACTATGGCTACAGCTGTAACATGAAACACAGTCCAGCTCCTAACCACGTATTCATAAAACTTCTTACTAAAGGCCCATTTCCCTGAGTTTTTATTGTCCCAGATATCTTGTCCATTTTTCAACAAAAGATTATAAGGCATGCTAGAAGGAAAGAAAACAAGCAAACCCAGAATGTGAAGTGACAAAGCTAACACCAGAACCAGATTCAGTAAGGGGTGATGAAAATATTCTGAATTACACAGTGGTGATGGTTGTATAACCTCTTGACTATATGAAAAACAACTAAGTTTTACACTTTAAAAGGGTGAACTTTACGGTATGCGATTATCTCAATTAAAAAGGGTTAAAAAAAAGATTTAACATGATATGTAACTTTTTCCAAAACAAAAATGTTGCTATACCATCCACACTTACCCAACTTGTGAAAATACATTATAGAATAAAATAAATCTATGAGAATACCAACTGAATGAAAAATTTTAAATACTATTTAAATTTTCACTGTATAACTCTTTGCTACCCATAACATCAACAACAAGAGGGTAAACATATTGTCTTTTCTCCACTCAATAAATATATACTTGGGGTACCTGGGTGGCTCAGTCGGTTAAGCATCCGACTTCAGCTCAGGTCATGATCTCATGGTTCGTGGGTTCAAGCCCCGCATCGGGCTCTGTGCTGACAGCCAGCTCTGAGCCTAGAGCCTGTTTCAGATTCTGTGTTTCTCTCTCTCTCTGACCCTCCCCTGCTCATGCTGTCTCTCTCTCAGAAATAAATAATAAACATTAAAAAAAATTTTAAATAAATAAGTAAATAAATACATACTTAATGTCTGCCTCATACAAGAAACTGTACTATATTGTTGGGATACAAAAGTGAAGTTGACAATTCCATAAAACAACATGAAAAGTGTCAAGCATAGACTACATAGAGTACAATGGAGTTAAGAATATGGGAGAGCATTTTCACCTGGGGTGACCAAAGAAGTCTTCATAGTAGAAGTAGCATTTTAATCAAGCCTTTATTTATTCATTTAACCAATGTTGAAATGTTCATTATGCTCAGGTAATATGCCAGGTGCTAGGAAAATAAAATTAAAAATGAAATGGATTCTCTCACCGTGTCATGAAATAAAGCTCAAACTGTGTATGTACAAATATGTGTGCTTATTTACATAAGTAAGGATAAATAACCACAGTATAACATAATGAGAGCACGTTTGAAGAAGGAGTGAATGTCAGCCAAGAAGCATAAACCCCTTCAATGGCTCCCTGCAGCTTTTCAGAAAAATTTCAACTGCAAAAATATGGCCTTGAGTTTCCTATGATTCAGACTCTGACTAAATTCCTGGGTGACTTCCTCTACTGCTTCTTTATTATATCTACATTATGTGTTGGCTATTCTGTCCTTTCCTATTTCCCCCATCCTTTCCTTTCATCCCTCTATCCATTCATTTAAGTACTAACTGAGACCCCACTATACATAAAGCAAGGCACAGGGATACAGCACCACGCTGGACAAACAGGGTTCTGGCCCTTGTGGAATGGGTCTTCTATACAAGGATAAAGATTCTGAACTAACAGACAACTGTTAGTTACATGTGATATACATGGTAAGATAATAGAAGAGTCTATGAGTACACAATGATTGTTTTAGTCCTTTCCTCTGAGACATTTGACTTCATGTGCAGTAAGTAGCAAATACTCTTTATTCCTTGGTAAGAATTTATACGACAGAGGAAGGAAGATAAGCCTTAAAACATTCAAGGGACTGCAATCACAGTGAAGTTGCTAAGAGTTCAGTCATCTAGGGCATGTCACAATATTTCTACCAAAGTGAAGGGCAAGTTGCTTCATCCTGCACACTTTGCCATTGAGAAAGAGACACATGGGTAGCTTTGGATTCAGGAGGCAACATGTCCTCTATTTGAATATTCTAGATTGAGTAATTTGCTGAGTAATTCATAGTTTTGAATGGATCCCACAGCTTCCAGGCAAACTGATCTTGGGCCATATGATCCAGAAGACCCAACTGTAGGGAGGAAAAAATCCTGGCAATATCCTAAAGTTAGGGGAAAGGGTTTTATTTTTTTTCCCTTCAGGTTTGGGGGGAAAGCTGCCTATTCATCTTCTACTGATAAATATTACCCTTTTGATAAATAGTTCTAGGCTTGCTACAGGGCTCCCCAGACTAAATACCTGATTCATGGTATACCAGATAACCATGCAACATGAGCTGTCCATGGTGAGCTGTCCAGTATAGCACGTAGAAAAGAAAAAGGATATAGAAAGGAAGAAAAACTGGAGGTAGGCAATCATGCTCATAGCTGACATTCAGCTGACAGCAATACTAATTCTGAAATCACTTACCAGTGTCAGACCAGTAAAAGTTATTAGTTTGGTCTTCTTTCAGTTACTGAGACACGCTACGTAGGCTCTTTTCTCCTTAGAGCCTTCACACATACTGTTTTCACTGCTGGTGAGGCTCTTTCCCTACTTTTCACAGGGCCATTTCCTTCTCATCGTTCATGTTTCAGCTTAAGTGTCACCACACGGAAAAGATGTCCCTGACCACACTGTCTAAAACTATGCCCTTACCCCCAGGCTGTTATCATCTGTCATGGTACTTTGCCTTTCCCTTCTGTGCCTTCTATCACAATTTGTTGTTATATATTTGTCTGCTTACTTGAATACTGTGCATATCTTCCATCAGACTGTAAGTTCCACAGGAAGACAAGAATAATGTCTGTTTTTCTCACCATCGTATCCACAACCATTGGCACAGTGTCTCACACACAGAAACAGTCATTAAAATTTGTGGAATAAATAAGTACAAGTGCTTGGACTCTCCTTTCAGGAATAGTGGTCATCCTGCTCCTTCTATAAACCAAACAGTCCATCTTTTGTACTGGCCTTTTTGCACACCACTGGTGATTTGGGAGACTTACCAGAGAAATTAAAGTGCCTAAAGTCAGAAGAAACTGGGGAGTTACCCTTTGGCATTTCTTCCTAAAACTTAAACTATGGGACTACACTTCTCTATAAATGCTATACGAAAGCAAGAGCATAATTCAATATTTAACAGAGAAAGCTCATCATGTCTTATGGGTTATTTTGGCCTAATGTCAATTTTGACAAGTCTCAGCACTGGCTTAAAATACGGAAACAAGAAGAAACTGAGAGATATGCTATATTTTTGTGACCAAATTTCTTTTTTTTTTTTTTTTTGTATTCCTAGGAGAGAGACAGAGAGAGAGACAGCGTGAGCAGGGGAGGGTCAGAGAGAGAGGGAGTCACAGACTGAAACAGGCTCCAGGCTCTGAGCTGGCAGTCAGCACAGAGCCCGATGCAGGGCTCGAACCCACGAACCGTGAGATCATGACCTAACCGAAAGTCGGACGCTTAACCGACTAAGCCACCCAGGCTCCCCTTTTGTGACCAAATTTCTGCATTGAAAAATTAAGAAGGAGATGAAAGAAGAGGAGGTAGAGCCTTGTCTTACTTTGAGGCAATTACTGAAGAAGTCTCTTCTGTAGTCAGATGAACCTTTTCCTAATTTTCTAAATGATTTCTTAGCCTAACTCTAAGGTTTTTATTATAGTAATATTCATACTAAAGAATAAATAAAACAGAAAACAAAAAAAAAGCCCTAAGAATGTACTCATAATTGAGAACTAGTTTCATTGAGCCATCCAATAGAAGGCATATTACTAAGAAAATTCCCACAACAATCTGACACCTTCAATATATAAGAAAAATTCTTTGCATTGTGGAAACTTACCTATCTCCGTAGCTATTTGCACATACAAGTTCTGGACTGGCTCTTTCTCTCTGTGTTTGTCTCAGACATTACCTTCTGTTCTTTTCTGAAGATTACATCATGGGTCTCCTGGGCCTCTGTGGCAGGAAGAAAGAAGAAGGCCAAGCGAAGGATGACATTTTCAGACTATCGAATGTCAAGAAAAATAAAACATCACTTACTCAGCAACAAAAACCTTATTATGCAACTGGTATCCTCATTTCTGTATCCTCAGGGATTCTAATATCAGCATTAACTGGTTATTTAAGGTCATCTTCATGACTAGCATCTTGATAGCATTTACCAACTCTGTCAGGTTAAAAAAACTTCATGTTTTAAGTAGGAGATTTACAATCAGTGTAATTTTCTTTAAAAATGTTAAACAATAGAGTTTCATATTGAATGTGAGTATTTACCTTAGACTTAGTTTATTGTTGTGTTTTAAAACTAATTTACTTATTTATTTTAATTTTAGAGAAAGAGAGCATGCATGCAAGTTGGGGAGAAGGGTAGAGTAGGGAGAGAGGGATTTTTTTTTTTTTTACAAATAGTTTATTGTCAAATTAGTTTCCACATAACACTCAGTGCTCATCCCCACAAGTGTCCTACTCCATGCCCATCCCTCCTCCCCCCCACATCCATCAGTCCTCAGTTTTTGTCAGCATTCAAGAGTCGAGAGAGGGAATCTTAAGCAGGCTCTGTACTCAGCACAGAGGCCAATGCGGGACTCCATCCCATGACCCTGGGATCATGACCTGAGCTGAAATCAAGAATTGGACACTCAACTGACTGAGCCACCAAGGTGTCCCAATACGATTTACTTGTAATAAGGCTTTCTTTAGTCATAGAAATAAGTAATCATTTATATAGTGCTTCCAAGTTTAAAGATGGTATCAAATGCTTTCTCATCTTTATCTCAACAATTAATGAAAGGCTAACAATATCAACTAAGTGTAAAAAAATAGTACTTTATAGGGGCGCCTGAATGGCTTAGTCATTTGAGCATCTGATTCTTTATATGGGCTCAGGTTTATATGATCTCAAGTTTCATGAGTTCCAGGCCCCCATTAGGCTCTACACAGACAATACAGAGCCTGCTGGGACTCTCTCTCTCTCCCTCTCTCTGCCCCCCTTCATGTGCATGCATGTTCTTACTCTCAAAATAAATAAGTACTTAAAAATAAAAAATTAAAAATAATCATGCTTCATTATCCATGATGTTTTCTTTGGGGAAAATAAACCAACGCCCTAAGGCAAAGAGTATACCAAAATTCTCCTAAGTTTAATGCATATGCCATTAAAATTCATTTATTGGGGCATCCAGGTGGCTCAGTCAGTTGAGCAACCAACTCTTGATTTCGGTCAGGTCATAATCCTAGGATCATGGGATCAGGCCCTGTGTTGGGATCTGCACTGAGCATGGAGCGTGCTTAAAATCTTCTCTCTCTCCCTCTCTCTCCCTCCCTCTTTCGGCCCCTCCCCTGCTCATACGTGCACTCTGTCTCCAAAAAAAAAAAAAAAAAATCATTTACTAATTTCTGTTCCTTTTCTTAAAGTGGTATTTAATAAAAACTTCAAAAATGATTATCACTCTTGTAGGCTTTTCTTAAGAATTCATTAAAAGTGGGGCGCCTGGGTGGCTTAGTCGGTTAAGCGTCCGACTTTCGCTTAGGTCATGATCTCACAGTTCGTGGGTTTGAGCCCCACGTCAGGCTCTGTGCTGACTGCCAGCTCAGAGCCTGGAGCCTGTTTCAGAGTCTGTGTCTCCCTCTCTCTCTGACCCTCCCCTGCTCACACTGTCTCTCTCTCTCTCTCTCTCTCTCTTTCCTAGAAATAAAAAAAAAATTCATTAAAAGACATCAATATTGTAGCTTTTTGACTAGCATCCTTATTTCCCTTCTCCTATTTCTTTGTTAGTAATTTCTTGGATTGTATTTATTAAAAAAAATTTTTAAACTTTTTAAAAATTTATTTTTGAGAGACAGAGAGTGAGCAGGGGAGGGAGAGAGGGAGAGAGAGAGAGGGAGAAACAGCATCCGAAGCAGGCTCCAGGCTCTGAGCTGTCAGCACAAAGCCTGATGCAGGGCTCGAACTCAAAACCGTGAGATCATGACCTGAGTCAAAGTCAGCCTCCCAACCAACTGAGCCACCCAGGTGGCCCAGTAATTTCTTTGATTTTAAATTTTGTGATAGTGATACAGCTGAAGTTTGGCACACTGTAATTATATAGTTACCCACATGGTAATACTATTAGGAAGCATTTAAAATTGAACATGTAGTTTTTCTTAATGGTGTAGTTTGTTTTTGTAATAACAGCACAGGATAAGAACATGTTTAATACTATTTACACTCTATCATGTGTATCATTACTATGGGAAATGGACTTCAACCCAAATAAATAAACGACACAACATAGTAGTAGAAGTAGAGTAACAGAGTGAAAATGGAAACAGATTAGAAGTTTCTTCACAGCTCTTCACCAAAGTAATTACTAGGCTCATCATTAAAATCACCTTGTTGTCTTTTATCCTTCCAAGGTCCTTAACATACATTAGGTTTTTCATTGTAGAAAGTTTGCAACATCCAGAAGAACATAAAGAATGTATATAGGTCTTAATTATCTCCAGTAATTCCATCATACAGAGGTAACCATTGTTAGTTAACATTTCATACAATTTGTTTTACATATATATAATTAGGGTTGTCTTGTATGCTGTTTTGGTATTTCGTTTTGTCATTATGTATCTACTTCTTCCCCCATGATCAAATAGTCTAAACTATGAAAAGCATGATTGGGGAAAGGGGTGGACTATCAAAATATATTCACAGACATGTGAACAATAACTAGAGGACACTTAAAAATCAATATCTCTAAGATAACAAATATGCATGAGACAGTTGACTAACAAATACATATATTTTTATCAACATAACCTTTTAAAATTCTTCTTACAAATATTATACATTTTTCTTTGTGTTACTCAGAAAGTAAAATTCTGCTATAAATATATCTCCCACTAAGAGTTTGGTATATATTCTTTTAATATGCTTTTAAATAACAAGTAGTATTTGATCTTATAGATTTACTATAATTTACTCATTTCCCAATGTTAGGCACTTAAGGTATTTACAATATTTCATTATTAGCAGTAAATATATTTTGTAGATCCCTGAACATAAATCTTTGACAAAAGATTTCCACAAATCATGCTATTCTTATATTCATATGTACATGATAATACATATCATTATTAAGTCTCATGAATTTAAATTCTTAACTTCTTTGAAACTATTTCTTTATATGCAAAATCAGGGGGGCTAGATTACAGTTCTAATATGCTCCAATTCTTAAAAAAAATTGAGTTCTAAACATAAATCCTAAATTGGGTGAAACAATTTGTGAATTCTTAGAAGAAATATGAGACATGTTAATTCACGCCTTTCAAACGAGTACAAAGATGTGTGTGCATCTAGGTCTGTGTTTGTGGGGAGGCATAAACAACCATACAGAAAAATTATCTTTCTGGAATATCAATTTTACTTCAGGATATATGGACAAAATTTGTGTCTTTTTCCCGTTGAATATATTAGAGTGAAAATTTTAAATCTCACTAATTTTTTTTTTTTTAATGTTCATTTAGTTTTGAAAGACTGTGAGATTGTGAGTAGGAGGCAAGGGAGAGGGAGACAACAGAGTGAATCCCAAGCAGCCTGGCCTGTGGGGCTCGAACTCCTCAACCGGAGATCACCATCTGAGCCCAAATCAAGAGTTGGACACGTAACCGCCGGAGCCACCCAGGTGTCCCAAAGTCTCACTGATTTTTAAAATAAAAATGAACTCTTTGGGAAAAAATATTCCTAATTTTGAGAAGTCAGGATTTATTTTCCGCTTTTGTTAGAAAAGGATGCAAGGCTTTAAGTGAAGAGGAAGACATATCAGTTGCAAGGCAAACCATTTGGGGATTGGGATCACCTTCTTAAGAGTAACTAACATATCTGAAGTAATCCTTGGCCTGGGAATCTAAACACGCGTTCACTTCACTGCCTCACTTGGAAACCTGTCAAGAGGTTAAGGTTTGTTTGATTTCACTTTCAAACCTGTCCCATCTTGTTTCTATACAGTTTTATGAAACTTCTAGTTCATTTCTTTTAAAACCAGGCGGCCAGTGTCCAGACAGCAGGTCTAACCTTTCCAAACATACCCACGGGGAGTATCATCCACTGGATATAGTTCACCTCATTAATTTTGCAACCGATGAATGTATGGTTTCTACTCTCACAATCATCAACACTACTTCAAATGCGCCACATTATTTCACATTAAACAGACTACGAGCTCGATTTTAAAAAGCTTTTTAGGAGATAGGGATCTCACGGATTAAGCAAAAATAACTGATTTTTCAAAAGCACCCAGATTTTTCTATCACCGAAGGGTGAAGGGAAATCTGACCTATGGAAATTATGGCATTTCAAACTCTAAATGAAATACAAAGCTATTTAAAGTTTTCTATAAAAAAATTATTTGTAGCAGGGCTAATGGCTATTAAGAGCCATTAGCCCATCTAATGGCTGTTAAATTTCGCCAGGGTCTTGGTTTTCTAACTCCAAAATTGACACGCAGCGTTCAGAGCACGCCAAATGATGTACAAAATGAAGTACACTCAAAGGAGAAAGTCTAAAACATATTTTCTGTACGTCCACTCCCTGGATTCAGATGGCAAATAACTTTCCTTTCTCTTCCTTTAATGCATTAATTTTTTTAAATTCAGTTTTTGAAAAATGGCTGCTCCGAGGCCGATATTGGCAAGCGGGTCCAAAAGGAGGTCACCAACACGGTCCAACTGGGGCGCACTCGGCCACCGGCGCCTGTGGGCCGCCTCGTCCCTCCAACCGGGAAAATAAAGCCAAGAGGCTCCCAAAACTCCCAAAGACTAACAGCGCCAAAGGGCCCGCGCCCTCAGTTACACTTTCCTCCAGAAGCTCCCGGGGGCTGGTTCCCAGGGCAGCGGGTGGCCCCGGCGAGTTCAGACCGACTCCGGCTCCGGAAGATTGACTATAGCAAGACTCCTCCCTCCTCGGCCCTGAGTGAACTACAAATTAACACAAAACGTGTAAAACAGCGACCTCAAATAACTCTGCAGCATCTTCCGGGACGCTTAGAAACTCGGGTACCAGCGAAAGTCGGGAACCAACCAGGCGGCCTCAGCCCCAGTGGGCGGCTGGCGCCACGCCCCGGCCTCCGGCGGCCTGACCCGGAAGTGCTCGGCGGCGGCGGCGGCGGCGGCGGCCGCGACTGCGGCGGGGGCGGGGGCGCGGCCCAACCGGCGCACACGCGCGCGCTCCCCGCGGAACTCCCGCCGGCCGCCCGGCGCTCTCCCGGAGGCGCGCCCCAGCCGCCGCGGCCGCCGCCAACATGGCCGAGACGAGCGAGGAGGTGGCGGTGCTGGTGCAGCGGGTGGTGAAGGACATCACCAACGCCTTCAGGAGGAATCCGCACATGTGAGTCGTGCGCCGGCGGGGCCGTCGCCTCGGCCGCCCCCGGGGGTCGTCGGGGGCGGGCAGGGGCGGGGCCGAGGCGCGAGCCGGGAGCCGATCTTTGGCTGCGGGGAGGGGGGGGGGGGACGTCCCGGCCCGCGCGCCCCTCGCCGGAGGGGACCGAGCGAGGTCTGGGCGGGAGTGTCGGCGGCCGCCGCAGGGCCCGCTTTCCGCAGCCGGAACGCGGTCGCGGGCGAGTCCCTAGAAGTGACCTCGGAAAATCGGAACGGAGCGACTTTTCTGGCTCTCCTTCCCTAGGAGTTCTCGCAACTCGAAGGACTTCACCGGTGTGTCCGCATCCTACATCCGTGTAAGGCACACGGGAACACACAGTGTGGGGGCCGTAGGTGCGTTGTAAAGACAACTCTTTGGAGGTTCATCCGGACCGGTGATCAGGGGTGGGGGCGGGTTGTCACCGATCATCTTATTTTCAGTGGACCGGGAAACCCTCAGCTTAGTAGCCAAAGGTAGTTTGGGGCTGCTGTTGACTTTTGGCTCTCTAGTCCCAAGATTGTGGAGGGACTCTGATGGAAGCCTCCTGCTTTGGAGGTGATGAGAGCATTCTCAGGAGTGTAGTAGCTTCGGTAGGTACCGGATGGGTCTGGTGTAAAGCGGATGAGACCTTGACACTTTGTAGCATTGGCTGATTCATAGTTACCGGGAACGTAACTAACTCTGTTCTTACCCTGACGCTGCTGCGCTCTTTAAGTAGGACACCACAGCACTAACACGTATCGTTCCCACCTTCCTTTTCATGGTACTTGGAGTACTCCGGGAAGATACTAGAAGACGCTGTATTCTTTCTGACACTTCTGCTTTAATGTAACGAGTGGAAAAGGAAGCTAAAAAAAGATATGTCTACAGTATCCAGAAGAGCAGGGAGAAGCAAGAGTGTTTAATTACCACCCTTCTCTCCTCGCCCCCTCCCGCACCAAAAGAAAGAATCATGGAATCCAGTTTTATGTTACTGTATTTGTCTTTTTCTAATTGTAGGGTTTTTCTTTTAATATTTTCTTTTTCATTGATTTTTGTGTTTTAAAGTTTGTTTAAGAGAGAGAGAGATGGAGAGCACACACATGCATACGAGTTGGGGAGGAGCAGAGAGAGAGAGAGGGAGAGGGAGGGAGAGAGAGAATCCAGAGTGGGCTCCACATTGTCAGCACAGAGCCCAGTGCAGGCCCTGAACCTATGAACCATGAGATCATGACCTGAGCTGAAACCCGGAGTCAGATGCTTAACCGACTGAGCCACCCAGGAGCCCCTAATAGTTTAGGTTTTAAACTGCAACACATGAACACTTACTCTTTTCAAGCATTTTAAGCCCTTAAGCTTTTCTGCTTAAAGAAGCTAGTAGATCTACATCTAAATGAAGTGTTCGTCTACCTCACAGTGGTGCTTCTAAAAATTAACCCCTCAGCCATCTTGCACCCGCCCGGCACACAACCGGTAACCGTGCCTCTTTTAAAACAAAAGGCTTCTGGCCTCTAAACACACCTGCCATCTCTGACAGTGTCCACTTCCTTTCCCCCTTGTGACTGCTGCCCTTTTTTTAAAGTGAGTGTTTGGAATGATTTCCTGGCAGTAACCATAGTGGGTCCTGGGTCCTCTAAAGAATGCTTTGATGCCTTGTATATCAGTCTTTCAGTCCCTTTTTGAGAATGAGAGCTGGAGTGTAAATAAGAGACAACCTCAAAAAAAAAAAAAAAGTTGGGTAAGTGAAAGGCCTATTTTATCATCCCTGATGTTGTTTTTCTTGAAGAAATTATAGCAGAGATTAGAAAAAAAGTCTAAAAAGTACAGTAGTTTCTCTTCTCTGGGGTAGATTTAAAAAGCACATCAGTGTTTTATATTTGAAGAAACAGATTGAGTGTTCACTGGCTTGATGGGTTGAGACAATGCGTTTTGGATCACATCTCTGTTCTTCTGGATCATATTTATTGAAACTCATCAAGGACTTTGATAACCCCAATCATTTTTTTTAATGGTGAAATCTCATGCTATCAGTGCATAATTTCATATTATTATTTTTTTAAATGTCTTATTTTTGAGAGGGAGAGAGGGAGACAGCATGAGCAGGGGAGGAGCAGAGAAAGAGGGAGACACAGAATCCAAAGACAGGCTCCAGGCTCTGAGCTGTCAGCACAGAACCCGACGTGGGGCTTGAACCCACGAACCGTGAGATCGTGACCTGAGCCGAAGTTGGACATTTAACTGACTGAGCCACCTGGGAGTGCCCATAATTTTATACTATTAATAAGCATTTAGATCATTCAAAATTTAATAGTTTGAAATAGGTTGAGGATTTGAAATAATTTGAAATGATACATACTATAGGTCTGAAGAACCTAAATAACTCACTGCCTGTAATCTTCAGCTATATTTTAGTATATGTTTCCTACAAAAATGACATTTTCAGTAATATTACTATGCAGATTCTTTAAAAATGTCTGAGTTGCATTTTTCAAAATTGCTTGTACTTCTTCCCCTAATCTAGCTGCCTTACTTGCAAAATAAACAGGCTCTCTTCCTGGTTAAAAGCAAAAAAAAGACACCATTTATCTTGAAAGTTAGTACCTAACCGCTTTTCAGTATGACCGAGAAAAGTTTTTCATTCTTTACTGTTTTCTTTTTTCATCAAACACAAGATAGCTTGTAATTTTATTAGACAACATCCACTCCATTAAACATACTGACTTCGTTTCTGTAAGTATGCCTCCCCAGGAGTCGAACATGCGTCGGGTAAGATGTCAATTTTGTTACAGGTGGATGCGGATAGGTTACCCTCTGTCAACCTCAGTTTCCTCTGGGTCTGGCGAGGTTGGTAAGAACATAGGAAGGTCATGTCACGCGATGGCTGGCCCGTAGCTGCCACTTGGTAAATATTAGATTTAAGCTGAATTTCTGTATTCCTCAGAAAACCATATTGGCCAACTGAATGATGAATGTGAAGTACTTTATACACCAAAAAAATAACATAAAATGTTGTCTATATGGCTGACTGTTAGAGAATACCACTAGAAAAACAGCTGAAGGTTTGACCCAGGGACTAACGATAGTTTAACAATATAGACCTTTGCTAATGTGGAAGATAGCTGTTTATGGTGTAATTAGGGTCATGTCAAAGGTTTCTTATCTACGGAGTTATTTTTTTATTACTCTTTAAAATATATATTGAACTCTCACCGTTTATGAGATGCTGTAGGTAGTCCAGCGGTATGGAATAGGAAGCAGTATAAAATAAAGTTCTTATACTCAAGGGACAGAGATATCTATGATGGTGGATTTGCCGTGTGCTGTCCAGTGTGGTAGTCACTAGGCATGTGTAACTATAGAATGCTTGGAATGGTGCTAATGTGAATGAGGAACTGAATTTTAAATTTTATTTCATGTTATTTGACTTGTACATAGTGTCAAATGTGCCTAGTGACCGCTGTACTGCACACCATAGCTCTAGATAGAGACCTAAGACCCACCTGCATGAATAGTAAATTACTGTTTACTGCAAAGCAGTTCGTGGTGAAGGCTGGGCTAGCAGCATGGTGAGCAAGTGCTGTGTGAGTGTATTAGATGGAGAAGGAAGGCTTTGTAGGTCTAGGCCAGGGCCCTTAGGGCAGGTGGGTTTTAAGCTGAACTTTGAAGGCTGGGTAGGATTTATAGTTCCAGGGAGGGAGCCACCTCCACATCGAACTGGAAATTAACCTGAAGCAGCAAAAGATGATAGATACAGTAGAGTCAGATTGTGGAGGTCCTTGACTATGTGGCTGAATTTCTTTCATCCCATGTTTGCATTCAGCAGAAGAGTAGCTGTATTTCACAGATAGAATTCTAGCCCCTCAGTGTGTAGGTCTAGGAGTGGGGCGAACAGTCGTGAACATCTCACTCATGGTCCTTAGCCCAGTGGAACAAACCACACAGATTATGAAGAGCCTGAAAGAAGAAGAAGGATATTTGAAGGAATGATAACTGAGAGGCCTAATTCATATTTGAAGCTTGAGATAGTTCTTTTGAGGAAATAGCAGTTAAATTGAGACATGAAGGATAGCTAAGAGTTGGGTCAGGAAAAATACACTTCCTAGGCAGTGGATAGGCCCCAGTGGAAATTTTTTGAGTAAGGGAGGAGTGAGGAAAGGCAAATCTGTAAGTTGAACTGAAGAGTAGGAAACCACAATACCTAAATTGTCTTTTTATACTTGATTTTTTACCTGTTTCTTTAAATAATAGAATAGTTGTAAAAGTTAGGATTTGAATCTTGGCCTGTCAATTAGTAGCTGGGTAGACTTGGAACTATTTTATCTATAAAGTGGGGTTAAAATTTCTACTTAATAAGATTATTGTATGAAACAAACAAAATAATTTATGTAAAACCAAACACAGAGCAGAGTACACAATGAACACTCAATAAATAAACAGTAACAATATATGTAGCTGTTTTAAAAATAAGTCCAGGAAGTGATATGTGAAATGAGTACTCTTTCGAAGTGAGAATACTTATGAAGTTTCTGAAACAATTTAATCACTGGTAGTTTTAATTGTCGATATGAAAGGGTCAGTTCCTTTAGATATTTCACTAAATCTTCTTTTTAGTCATTTTAGAAAGAATTCTAGGGGCACCTGGGTGGCTCAGTCGGTTAAGCGTCCGACTTCGGCTCGGGTCATGATCTTGCAGTTCGTGGGTTTGGGCCCCGCGTTGGGCTCTGGGCTGACAGCTCAGAGCCTGGAGCCTGCTTTGGATTCTGTGTCTCCCTCTCTCTCTGACCCTCCCCTGCCCACGCTGCCTCCCTCCCTCCCTCTCTCTCTCTCTTTCTCTCTCTCACTCTCTGTCTCTCTCTCAGAGATAAATGAAATATTAAAAAATTTTTTTAAAAAAAGAAAGAATTCTAGGGTGAATAAATAACAAAATGACTATTAGATTAAGAAGTTTATACTATTTCCAGAATCCCTGGGCTTGTTTTGTGTGTGGTCGCTCCAAATTACAGAGTTCAGTTTAGTATTTGGGGACCATTCTTCCCACCCAGAAGGGAAACTGGGTGATACTACGTTTGAAATTACTATGTGGGCCTGCTCTAATTGAGGATGTTTCTAAAAAGTGCAGACAAGGGAAGCTGTCCAAACATCAGGAACAAAGTATCAGTGTTATATGAACCTTGAACTTCCTCTGGAAGCCAGTGGATCCCTGCTTAGAATGAAGCACTTAGAAAGCTATACCTTGCTAAGGATGATCTTTTTAAATGTGTTGGTTCATTCCATTTTGCTGTGTTTTTGGAGCAGCCTTTGAAGGTAACCTAAAAAGTGAGCTTCATGGGCTCTCTGAGAATATTAGAACTTTTTCACCATTGCAAACCTTCATTCCTTTAAAAATCCTGTGACATTGGTTATACAGGTTTTGAGTGTCCTTGTTAAACACCAGGAATTTAATTGCCAGAAACCAGAAAAATAAAAGACTGGAGTGGTGGTAAAAGAGTCAGAAATTTCTCTTATAACATTATTTCACAAGGAGATAAGTGGAGTTGTATTTGATATTTATAGCACATTCATTCCAACTATGAATATCAATGTATAGAATTTTATATCAATATATAAAATTAATTATGTAGGAAAATGTTTAATGTGAATTGTTAAGTTTTTAAAAAGGATTGTAGGAAAGTATGTGTAGAGGGATGACAAAAGACGTTTAGTTTATTTTTTCCCCACAAGTTTTCTAACTTTTCTTGAGTATGAAATTAGGATTTAAATAGCCAGAAGTCTTCCCAGAAATCCAGAAGGAATTGATCTAAATTCTGCTTGCTTTCACTGATGTTTTTATCATTAGCTTCATGGGTTTGGGGCTGACTATTAAGAGATCCAGATTTTTAACTTAGCGTTAGCAATGTGACCTTGATTGATCATCTTAACCTCAGTGGACCTCGGTTTCCTTGTGTGATAAAGTGAGATACTGGGGAAATGTGGTCCCTTTCCATTTAAAAATGATTCTGGAATCCTATTCTAAATTGTCTGAAAAAAAAGTGGACTATGACCTCAGGGACTCAGCATAGAAGAAGCCTGAAGTCAAACACACTGTTAACTTGGGAGCTTACTGACCTACCTATCTTTCTAAAGTAAATGTTATATTTTTAGAAAGCAGCAAAGCACTGTATTTAGTGTCAAATAATGACAAAGGCTTAACTTTTTTGCTTCAGCTTCCTGTCTATTAATCAAGTAACTTTTCTGTTTGGCCTCAGGCTCTTAACTGAATTACAGATAATACACTTCATCTTTGCCTATCACTTTATAGCTGACCACATGCTTTACCTTGTAATGTTTGCTCTTCCTCGCAGGCATTGTTTTTCCTTTATTTCAGATAAGGGTACTGATGACCCGTGACTTACCACATTCACCTTTGACTGTTAGAGGTAGAGTGGAGGCTAGGGAGCACCCTGGACCTTGGAAGATTGAGTGCTTTTGTCTACATCCTGCTACCTCTCTTTTGATGTTTGTTTCCCCCTGATGTCGCCATTTTCATTCTCTTTACATGGAATAACTGTCAGGTTTCTCAGTCAGAATTTGAAAGCTGAGTGACACCTAGCAGTCCATTTCCCTTATTTAGAGATGTAATGCAATTCCACTGTTTTACAAATAAGGAAATTGAGGTCTGTGGAGGCCAAATGAAAACCAGAACTTGGGCCCACTGCATTAGAAGGAAATCGGGCACTTGGGTGGCTCAGTCGGTTGTGTCTGACTTCCGCTCAGGTCATGAACTATGCTCACAGCTCGGAGCCTGGAGCCTGCTTCAGATTCTCTGTCCCTCTCTCTCTGTGCCCTTCCACCACCCCCTCTCAAAAATAAGCATTAAAATTTTAAAAAAGGAAATCAGAGATAATATTCTTTTGGAGAGTCAAGAAGTGATATTCTTTGAAAATGGTTGATTTGAATGTTATCACCAAAGTGCACGTTAACCAGCCTTTCAGTGACAGTTACTGAGCATCTGAGTATCAGTGCAGGCTTGTTTTGTAACATGATTTCTTGGAAGAACAGCACCCAGCTAAAGAAGTGTGTTTTTTATTTGTGCACATGACTCTGTCCTTTCATTTAGGTAGCAAATTATTAATTGGGCGTTTTATTTCTGGTATAAATAATGAGCAAGGCAGGTTTTCACATTGTGAATTTAACCACCTCCTGCTTCAAATGTACCCAGAAGGTAGGATTCTTTTATTCCCGTTATTCTGGCATTCGTATTCTTGACATCTGCGGTTCTTTGAGCGTTGTAAGTGGTTATTACATCTCAGAGAACAGACTTTCTTAAAGTAATGATGGTGAGTTTATTTTGTTTTACTGTAATTCTAAGTTTAATTTTTAAATGTTCTAGTTCATATAGTAAAACCTGAGCACCAGAAAATACCGGAGATTCAGGCATGTATTAGGGCTAGCCCTCAATGTGTCTAGTTGTCCTAACAGCGAATTAGGTAGATTTTACATAAACAAATACAAATGCAAAAACATTTGCAAATACTGGATGCGGATCTCAGTTGGGCTCTCAGCATTGCTTAAGTTCTTCCTACAAAACTTTATTTATACCACTGGGATGGCAGAGGGTCAACATATTATTAAAGATATTGATACAACTTCCATCAAAACTGTCAGCACTATGAAGTCCGGGACCACCTTGTTTTATCCATTTTTGCATTTTCAGTACCCAGTATCAGAAAATGTGTAGATAGTTCTGACATCGTATATCAGTAGATTTCTAGGGGCCAATGGTCAAGACAAAAATGCCTTAGGTCTCAAAATCTAGCTTAGGTTAAATCAGCTTGAAAGAATGGTCAGTGACTTACCCCTGGAGTACTATTGTTTATTGATGTATCCACCTCTGTTGTTAACCAAGTGATCAGTAGAAAGTAGGCTAACTCTGCACTCTCTGGTTTACAGTTTCCAGGAGGGATATTATTGTGGTTCCACAGCCTCCCACCAAGTGAACAAAAAAGAGGGCTTTTCTTGTAACTTGGACTTAAACGTGTTTCCCCCTCTTGCATCTCTCAAACTACTGTGTTCTTGGTTGGGGAATCCCAAGGACATAATAGATAATGTCATACATAAGCTCTGAAAACCGTTTTTAAATTTTTTTTTAATATAGCTAGTTATCATAAATTGTTTATGGTTGAAAGGCATGTGCAGGTTTTGCAAAACCATTTTTATGTTTGCTGGTTCATTTACTACGAAAGTCAACTGCTATACATATTGTTTATTAAATCTCCACCTCAAATGTAAATTTTCAATTTAAGTTGAAGTGGTTTGAAGGATATAGATGCCGCCTTAAATGAAAAGGATCAAATTCTGAGATGTATTTTCTGTTTCAGCAAACTTATCAGTGTGTGTTTATTTTTTTAATTCATCGATGTAGAAAAGGCCATAAAGAAAAAAAGGCCCACAATTTCATTGATGAGATAACGTTAGTTGGTAATTTGTTTCTGCTCCACATACATTACCAGGCAAAACTAGTACATTAAAAAAAAATAGAAATGATACATTCAGATGATTAGGAAATTTAAACTGTATAAAAATAAAATTCTTTGTCCCCAGATTTCTTGTGCTGCTTCTTCTAAAAAAATTTATATAAAAGGCTTTGTGCCATACACCATTTGGCATTCTGCTCATTTTCTGGTTTCATAGATCTTGGCGTCCTTTCCATACCAGCGTCTGCCAGTCTGCCCGATTTTTGTACACCTGTACCACAGGCAGAAGCCATAGTCTTCCATCTTATTTTGACACAGTTTAGATTCTTTCCAGTTGGGTTGCAGTGTTGCAGTAACATCCTATTGATAAACTGTGGCCTAGGATAACTTCGGAGCAGTGGAATCTCTGGGGGTCAGAGAGTATATGCAGTTCAAAATTTTGAAAGACATTTTCAAATTTCCATCAAATATCAGACCAATTTTCATTTCCCTCAGTGGGGAGTCAGCATACTAATTTTCCTGTACTGTGGTCTGTATTTTAAAACTTTTTTTTTAATTCCTACTAATCCAGCATGTGAGCTACATGATATTTTTAAGAAAGGGAAATATGTCACTTTTCTTTTTAATACTATGGAGGATTTGAAAAGCTAGCAGTCTGATCTTTAATTCTTCTTTATGTGTTACATATTCAGAGATGAAATTGGTCTGATCCCGTGTCCTGAAGCCAGGTATAACCGGAGTCCCATCGTCCTGGTTGAAAACAAACTTGGTGTGGAGAGCTGGTGTGTCAAGTTCCTCCTCCCATATGTCCATAACAAGCTCCTTATGTACAGAACGAGGAAGCAGTGGCTGAACAAAGATGGTAAGTGTGAACTCTGTCCTCTTCTGTTTGTTAGAAACAGCAAGAAATCCAGGGGAAGAACCCTCTCTGGGTGTTGGCAGCCCTAGATTTTGGTCCTGGCTCTTCGATTCACTGCTGGGGCAGCAGCCTAACCTCTCTGTCAGGTGAGGAGTTTGGACGCATCAGGATTTTCAGCTTTTGCATCCACAGTGATAGAGGATTCACTGTGATACAGGCCGCAGTAGGTGGCCTGGGCAGTCAGTCATAGGAGTTCTGACTTTACCTATTTAGGTGGTCAGGGTTCTTTTTAAAATTTTATTTGAAGAAAACATCCTGTGGCTATAAAAGAAAGTTTGAAAAATACCGAGGAAGACTCTCGTCCCTACAAGGTCAGGTTCTCTGGGTTGTGATCCTTTAGTAACTCTGTAAGCACTAGAACTCATTTTGGTAGCAGACCAAACGTGATACCGGAGGTGTGATGGTGGTAGTTACGCTGCGAACCAGCTCTGATTTACGGAGGTGCTCTCATGCTTCCCGTTTGAGCTTCGGTCCTCTGTCCTGCCCCTGTGCTGCTAGAAGCGAAAGAGAAGCATCCCAGCATTCACTTCTTTCGCTCCCCTGAGACACTTCTTTGCTGCACAGGACACTATTCATCCTGCCTGGTCTCTTTTCTTAGCTTTCCCCCATATGTGACATTTAGCCTCCACGTGCACAAATCCCCTTTACTTTTTAGGTTAAAAAAAAAAAGAGTACTCAGCTAAGACCGTGTTCTTGACTTTTTATCAAGCTGCCCTTTCCCAATACAGCAGTACCTTCAGAAGTGCTCAGTACGCCTGGAGGCTAATTTTGAAGAAGAACTTTGTTTCCTGGAGAATTTTAATTACCAGTTTGGTAGCCATTACCATGAGCCTACTCATAGTGCAGGCTGTTCTAAGTACTGTGGGGATAAAGAGATGAATAATACATGTTCCTTTTACTCAAGAAGCTTACAGTCGGGTGAAAAACAATCTCCCTGTGGAGTGTTGCCAGAGGTATGACATACTGATTTCCTTGTACTCCTCTCAGCGTCGTGCGTAAAGGACGGTCATAATAGCACTCTTCCGTCTTTCGACCGATAGAAAAGAAATCTGATTTGAAGATTGAATGTGAAATAGGACTCAGTCCCCTGATACATATTTCTTACTTTGAAGGCTATGCCTAAGTTTGTGGCATAGTTTAAGTTTGGGACACAAGCCTAAAGGTCCAAGTTTAGGCATAAATTGAAAGGTAAGGGTCTTTATCAGTTGTTGGGCCCTCTTTCATCCTGTGGTGGATAGATGGCAGGCTCATGAAACCTGTGGTGGGTTTCAGTAGCAGTAAGGCACAAAGTAACACCATGTGAGTCCATCGAGTTAGTTTTTGCCAAACACAGCTGTATTGTGTATGTTCTGACAAACAAAAATGTATGATTGAGCCAGTACATAGCTAGCTGGGGGAGGCATGGAGGCAGAATGATGCTCGTGTAGTGGAGAAGCAGCAGTCTGCATTTTAAAATGCCAAAGGCTTCTGTTAATGTTGTTTCTGATCGTTATTTTTTGCCCATTCATGTATGCTAGCCCAGTCTCCCTGTAGCCTTCTAGATCCTTCTCTCCATCTCCCTGTGTCTTGTCTCTCCAGACACTATCACACTGCAGGCTTTATCAAATCTCCTCATGAAGTTGTAGTCTCGATAGGTCCAGGAGACCTATCAAAAGGCTAAGCTCACTCACATGAGTAGCTGGCATCAAAATTTTGATTTCTGGTGCAACTAACTGTGCATGAGTACAGAAGCAACTTGACATCATCCTAACCTAGATCCTCATGGAAACAGTTTTTAATTTCACTTTTTTCGTGGGCGGTGACAGCATAGTGTAGTGTGGTATCACCTAGTCCTCAGGTTGTATATTGTGTTAAGAATAAAAATACAAAAGTAAATTTCTGATATGTCAGAAAAAGATACGTGGTAATGCTGACTAACAGAGAATTAGACCAACCTTGTGAACTGAAGCAGTTACTACACAGAGGTGAGTCTTGCTAAGAAAAAAGCAAAAAATACTAGGAAAAAGCAGTTATTTCATGAAAATGCTGTACCTTTAAAACTGTTTTTGTAGAAAACATCCATAAAAAGAACCAAGTGAAGAAAGCTGAAAGAATTTCAGAAATGTCCATATCTGTGTGTAGGCATTGCCTGGGAATGTATTCTGCAATGGAGGTGACCTTTATTCTTGGAGTAGAATTTTTTTTTCTTTTTAACCAGACTGCATTCATGCTCTCATTCATGTGCTGAATTCCTTAGATGTTTACAAAGCACCTGTACCGGTTAGAGTTCTCCGAAGAAACCACTAGAAAATGTTATATAGAGAGATTTATTATGACAAATTAGCTGATGGGATTATGGAGACTGAGAAGCCCGCAGTCTGCTCTCTTCAAGCTGGACACCCAGGAAAGCCAGTGTTTGGGTCAGAAGGCCTCAGACCCAGGGGAGGTGGTTTAAATCCCAGAGTCCGAAGGCTAGAGGAGATTCGATGAGTTGTCCCAGCTCAAGCAGACAGGAAGCAAAAAGACAGGAGGCTAAATACCTCCTCCTTCGTCCTTTGTTGTATTCGGCCCTCAGCAGCCTGGAAGATGCCCGCCCACACTGGGGAGGGCAGTCTACTTGATGAAGTCTACTGATGTAAATGCTAACCGCCCTCACAGACACCCTCGGATGTTTAGGAACGTTTGATCTGGGCACCCTGTAGCCAGTCAGGTTTAACATCAACACCAAAATGAACTGTCACGCCTCCCTGTTCATTCCTTAGAGACCAATATTTTTTTAAAAGTCTGCTTCAGTAGTAGCCATATTTGATCCGGGAGAGGAACGATACTGTAATTTTGAATTTTAAGAAATCCGTGACAAAAACCAAAGCAAGAGAGAAGTCTCCAGCATTGACTGTGACCGAGAAGAGTTCAGTCTCGCCGTTGTGTGTCCAAGTGCTTCCTCTTTCTCACAGCCCCTGCCCGTAACCACGCTTTCTCTTTGACAGCCACCTGCTTTTGTGTCTTATTTCTCACCTGAACAAATGTAATTACACATAGCTGGTGGCGTGTTCATCATGCCACAAGCCGGTTGTTTCAAACAGTGCTTCTAGGCACATTTCTTAGAAACACAACTTGAGACATGCTCTCCTGAAATACCTATCTGTACATCTTATTTCATGACACCTACAGGGTCAAGGGAGAGTTCGAACTCCGTGGCGTGGTGTTCAAGGGCACTCACAGTGTGTCCCCAGCCTTCAGCACCAGCCTTTCCCTCTGCTTTATATCCAGCAGCACAGGGTGTAAGTTTGCATCCCTCCGGCTGACGCCAGCCCACAGAGAGATTTGATTTTGGCTTCCAAGATGTTTTTTAAACTATTTTTCATAATTTGGAGAAACGTTTAAAACCAAAATGAACTTTTAAAGCTAAGATGCAAATCTGGATTTGTTTTCACTTGAAAAATCAGGTACATAAATTTCTGCACAGCAACAGCTGGCCAGGGCACATGGCTTGTGCCTTCTCTGGACTGACTTGGCCTGTTGAGTTTTCTGCAGCCTCCTCACATCAGCAGACATGGAGGCAGAGTGTCGGTTGCTACTTAACTTTAGGTTTGCTTTGCTTTTTTTTTTGACACTCATGTAAACCCTAGAAGCATTAGAGTTTGCAGCCATTTGACATTCCTTCCAGCCACAACATACACTGTTCATTCTTAGACGGCTGTGTACCACTGCCTTATGTCCGTGCCTTGGCTGAGGCCAAGTTCATGTCTTATGTTGTCACTGTTGTTGTGGTTGCCAGTACACACCCACACATGGCACACACTTGTGAAGGCTGATTGACTGTTCCAGTCACTTCTCTGCACTCCCACAAGGGTCTTTATTCAGACTGCTCGCATAGTAACACTTATCATACTTCATTGTCGTTGATTATTTAAAAAATATTTTCCCCCAGTAGAATGTAAGTTTGGTAGAAAGAGGGATTATGGCCCGTCTGTCTTTATATACTCAGCACCTTAATGTGTTCAACAGACATTTGTCAAATAAACAAGAGTTTGGTAAGCAAGAGGTTTTAGCTCAGTCTGGCTATCGATTCAGTGACTATATTCTGTAATAAAAGGGCCTTTCTGGTGTTTACCACACAGCTTTATCTCAAGTGTCTCTTCTTGTGGTAACCTGAAGGTATTTTGGAGGAAGAAATTAACCAACCTAGTTGGCCTTGGGTTTATTTCTAGATGCATGAAAACATATCTCTGTCAGAGACGGTTGTCAAATGCAGTGACCATTACCAGGTGACTCCTGGCTTTGGGCCGTTTCTGGAATGCCATTTTGACAAAGAATATTGATTTTTCTCTGATTTTCTGTAGCATCCCTTTATCCTCTCCATATCACCATTGTGATTTACCTATTTTTCTGCGTATAATACGCCCTGATTCATTTTCTCCTTGTGATGTGATGTTGAGTTAGTCATGTATCAGAGTATGTGTAACAAAGGAACATTTGTTTGCTGGTATTTGGAGAGAGATCTGTGTTAATTTCAAGAGACCATAGGGATATCAGTAGGTCACATCTGCTGGGTAACAAAGAGTATGGTATATGGGGCGCTTGGATGGCTCAGTTGGTTGAACATCTGACTCTTGATTTGGACTCAGGTCATGATCCCTGGTTCATGGGATAGAGCTCTACATTGGGCTCCGTGCTGAACCTGGGGCCTGTTAAGATTCTTTCTCCCCTTCTGCCCATCTCCTCCCCCCCACCCCCCATCTCTCTCTCTCTTTATAATTTAAAAATTAAAGAATATGTTATATAGTTGATAAAATGTAGAATGAAATAGTTACCGTTAACTGTTGATACACATGTTTGTCTTTAGATCTTGGTTCAGTCCTGACTTGAAGAGGGCAAAGTAATTGTAGACAGTATGCCATAGTAGAAAGACCATCTGCTTTGCAGGAAAACATCTGGATTTAGACTCAGTTTGTCAGGATGCT